GCTACATGCACAAACCTTGAAATATGGTTTCGAAATAGCAAAGTAAAGAATATCCCTTTACAAGATTTACAAGGCTTGATACATCTGTAGTATCGCAGTTGACATTTTATTCACACCTGCACCGATTTTCAAATTATCTAAAATATTGCAGGCAGTCCTAAAAGCGAGGAAAAAGAAAGTTGAAGCCAAACAGTTCAGAGTTCGTGTTACTTTGAAGAATTGTGAAGCGTCAAAAAGGTGATTTAGCGTTGAAGTGTTAAGACTATTTGTGTGTGTTTTTACGAGAGGAACTATCTGCAATATGTTGCCATCTCTCGCATCTTAGTGAATTGTTTGTCTAGTTTCACTCAGAGACATGAGTTTATCTAAACAAAGGTATCGTTATTACTAGCTGTAAAATACAGAAGAGAAGATTAGATAAATAAACTTTGTAGACAATGTCAATATAGTAGTTGTTGAGAGCCAATTGAACTTTTATACCATTTTTATAAAAATTAGATTTCAATACAGGTTCGTGTATAAAGAAATCTTTTATACCATATTATACGTTGAAAATTAGATAATACAAGAAAGGTGGCTATTGTAGTCAAGGTATAACAGAATGTTTGTAATAGCTTGACATTGTGAAGACACAAGAAACGTGACTATTGCAGTCAAGGTATAAGACGCAGTTCGTAATAGTTTGACATTGTGAAATAACAAGAAAGGTGACTATTGAAGTCAAGGTATAAGTTAGTAATAGCTTGACATTGTGAAGATGAAGTTTGTAATAGCTTGACATTGTGAAGATGAAGTTAGTAATAGCTTGACATTGTGAAGATGAAGTTTGTAATAGCTTGACATTGTGAAGATGTAGTTTGTAATAGCTAGACATTGTGAAGATGAAGTTTGTAATAGCTTGACATTGTGAAGATGAAATTTGTAATAGCTTGACATTGTGAAGATGAAGTTTGTAATAGCTTGACATTGTGAAGATGAAGTTTGTAATAGCTTGACATTGTGAAGATGAAGTTTGTAATAGCTTGACATTGTGAAGATGAAGTTTGTAATAGCTTGACATTGTGAAGATGAAGTTTGTAATAGCTTGACATTGTGAAGATGAAGTTTGTAATAGCTTGACATTGTGAAGATGAAGTTTGTAATAGCTTGACTTTGTGAAGATGAAGTTAGTAATAGCTTGACATTGTGAAGATGAGAAAACTTGGTATTATAGATCGTGTTATATTAAGCTCAAACATTTTATAAAATTCCGCTTAACCAAGGTCTGAACTAATGAACATGTTTTGGACGCGATTAAAATTCTGTTTCGCAATTCTTGAAATCGTGTCCTTGGCAAACACTGCATTTTAAAGAATGCTTCAAAAATTTCGAACAAGAATACGTTAAAACGTTAAACGTTAAAACATTTGAAAAGTGTTCAAGCACATTTTCGAGGTGACGATTTAGAATTCTTTCAATTCTAACTACTTGACAAGTTTACATATCTAGACCAAAAAAATATGACACAAAAAAAAATTCAGAAATGAAATGAATGGAATTTTACGTCCAACTTTTCTGCACCTAAAAAATCTGAAGACCGAAAAGGTTCAGATAAATCTCTTTACATTCCCTTTTAAGCAAACTGATACGAAATAAGCAACGCCATGCAGTGTGCAATGAGGGAAATTTTGTCAGGACAGTAGCATTAGCCTGCTCTTTTTCAATTTCCAACTGTCGAGGGATCTTTAACGTATACAGCCTGTAGCACACACAGGCCCTCGGTTTATTGTCCCATCTGAACGACTGGACCCTTTTTCTATTTCCAATTGTCCAGGGATCTTTAACATGTACAGCCTGTAGCACACAGTGCCTCGGTTTATTGTCCCATCTGAACGACAAGACGCGTTTTCAATTTGCAATGAGGGAAATTTTTCCAGGACAGCAGCATAAGCCTGCTCTTTTTCTATTTCCAACTGTCGAGGGATCTTTAACATGTACAGCCTGTAGTACACGGGGCCTCGGTTTATTGTCCCATCTGAACGACTGGACCCTTTTTCTATTTCCAACTGTCGAGAGATCTTTAACGTGTACAGTCTGTAGTACATGAGACCTCGGTTTATTGTCCCATCTGAACAACTAGACACTTTTTCAATTTGCAATGAGGGAAATTTTTCCAGGACAGCAGCATAAGCCTGCTCTTTTTCTATTTCCAACTGTTGAGGGATCTTTAACATGCACAGCCTGTAGCACACAGGGCCTCGGTTTATTGTCCCATCCGAACGACTAGACCCTTTTTCTATTTCCAACTGTCGAGGGATCTTTAACGTGCACAGCCTGTAGCCTCAGTTTATTGTCCAATCCGAACAACTAAAAAGACAATGTAGGGCAGATTTTAAACGTGTAATTTATCAAAAATGTACCAGTACTTGTATAAAAGTTGTTTTAAGACGAAGTTCAGAAAATCTTATTTAAGTCAAATGTAAATATTAAAAAAGATGAAAGGTACAACACAAAAAAGACGTGGAAATGTTCAGATTCTTTTAAAATCTATTTACAAGTAACCTAAATCAACAACATATTGGACGTTTTTCTTGTAAAAGATAAAAAAATATTTTGTAATAGATTTTTACGCCCTGTTGTTCACACATTTGTTCAGTCAATGAAAGCAATATACTGATGTGTACAATGAGAAGAATTTTGAAACATATTATCCACTTAGAACCCGCAAATACCATTTATTCTATGTAACCAAGTAAATGATGCCGTGTAAATATTTCAATGGTCTAACCGACTGAACTACAACCCTCCCTCCTTTATGAACCATACATGCTATTGATACTAAATGTTTCTAATATGAAACCTTTGTTTTTTCAGGATATGTTTTGAGTCAGAATACGACAGTTTTAGATACGAGTGGTTTTATAGATGTCTACAATTCTAATCATGGTGAAAATAAACCGGAGTTAAAACATGATAAAGCCTGGCTTACTGTTAACTCGTCTGTTCATTTTATATTATATATGAAAGGTCAATCTACAGAATGTTATGAGGTAATCAATGATGTTACTATGAATCATGAAAGGGGGGGGGGGGG